CTTGCTCCCTCCTGCTTGGGGCTCTCTGCGGTGGGTTTTGGGGCGGGAGGGTAGGGAAGGCTGGTTATTTGACTTCTGGTGGTACAAAGACCCCACCGCTGAGGAGCTGAACTTCCAGGGGATCATCCAAGCCCTGGACTTGGATGTTGGGGAGGGGACGTCGGGGGTTTGATGGCAGCCGGTGGCTATCGGTGGTGACTGGCTATATTTGGTCGATGGCCCGCTCTGATTCTACTCCAATGTCGCGTTGTGGTTGTGTTTTTTTTCTCCACGGCCTTCTGCTGGGAAGGCCAAATGTCTCCATCCACGCTTGCGATGGTGCTGGGTTGTTAGGTCAGGCACTGCCGGTGGGCTGGTCTGACTGTTTTTCCTACCCATGGGAAGGAAAGTTACACGTCCAAAAACCTCTGAGATAGATCGAAAGGCAAACTAAATGCCCAACTCCGGGAAATATGGGAAGAGAATCCAGAAGTAAAGAGTTTGGGCGTTTAACGTCAAGTTGAAATCGGAGTCCTCTCCATAAGTAGGATGTTTCTGTTGAAATTGCTGTTGTCTGCTTGTTTCTGGAGCTTAATTATGTCCTCCGTGGTTTCAAAAAGAGGGTTTGAGCGCTGAGTTTATTAAGTACCGTGGAGTGGGCCGTGAGGGTGTGTGTCAACAGGGCATGGAGGTTTAATGGTGGTGGTCAGCAGAGAGAGCCTGTGTCATCTCCGCCTCGCCGCGGGATGGAGAGACCCACAAGAAAGAGCTCTCCTTGAAATGCTGGGGGAATCGCCCGTTCCTAATTTGTATGTACGTTGTCTTGCACGAAGCAGCAATTTTGTGATCGAGCTGGAAAGAGTTTGAGAAAGCCGTAATTTGCTGCTGGGGTGGAAAGAATGAGAGAAAAATAGAGTTGGGCCGACCCTTAACAATGTTGCGTAGAAGGGTTGAAGGTAGCGGCCATCGCTGCAGTTCTTTCTAATAGTTTGTCGTTAGTTTCCCGTTAGCTTGTAAAAACAAGATCACTTTGGGTTTAAACATGTGAAAAAACTCAACAGTGATGATCATGGTCAAAACCAGGAGCTATGTGTTGAAAACCCCATTCTTTAAACGGGTTGCTCTCCTTTTAGATAGTTTGTTACAGGCAAGAGTTGGGCAGCAAAAGACTGTCTAGGAGTAAAGGACAGAGTTTTCTTCTTTTTTATGCCAATGTTTCCTTTCTCAACCGGAGGTACCATTGATCTATTTTCATCTGTACACACAAACCTATAGCAGCTTCAGGATAATGCTCCCAATATATATGGAGCTGGAGATCTATCTGCAACTTCCATGGCCTACAGCTGATAATGTGTATTATTTATTATGGGGACTTAATACGTTATTTCTCTGTGTTTTAGTGTTCAAAATAAGTACTATTTGATTTAATACAGTTGCTTGGTAAGATACCCTAACAGAATTCTAAAGCTGGGCAGAATCATTCAGGGTCTTCCCTTTGCATCCTAGAGATAAAACTAATAAACTAATTACTAATAAAGCCTTAAATTTCCATAGACCTCCAGCTCCTGCAGCCATGTCTGGGCTGGCAAAGGCAACTGCTGATTTGGGGGGATTGGGTAGGGAAGGTGCCTCCTGAGGAGCCACTGGTGGGACTGGGGTTCCGAGTTGTGTCGGAGGCAGCGCCCAGCACGAGGGGAGCCGAGGTTAATTTGGGGCTCCCGGCTGCTGTCACAACAGCCTTCGAAGAATTGACTCAAGCTGTGTTAAAGGAAGACTGTGCTTTATCAACAGCTATAGCTAAAGGGCAACACGGGTTTGTTTTGTGTGGGGCTTTGAGCCAAAATTAACAATTATTTTCATGTATTCCAGGTTGGTGGCTTCCCAGTCAGAGAGATTGTTTTGAAATTAGCCAGAAACCTACCAAGGCAGTGTGTAGGCTGTGCTAGACATGAAGGTGCTCTTCAGGCCAGACCTATGTTTGTCTCTAACAGTCTTTCCTTAGAGTTTGTTGTCTTACCTTTCTTTGTAGATGGATGTGTTGGTTTAGACTAGGTTTGAAGATGTGAACTAGATGTTTGAAGAGAATCTTTATGATGCAATACTTTCAATAATTTAACTTTTCTTCACGTGCAGTCCTTCCGTTCCGCGTTGGCTGTGGAGGGATCAGTCTTTCTCCTTGTTAAAAAGCACTGAAGATCTTGGCTTAAGTCAGAGTCCACTCAAAAATGGAATGCTTTGGTTTTCAGCTGGGTTATTTAATTTTGTTTGTCCCTAGATTATTTTATTTGTTGTTTTCCTACTCTTATTCGTGGCGATTCCTTGTATGTGGAGGATCAGTGACTTGAATACGGTCCATAACTACAAAATTAGTTTCTGAATCAGCAGCCAGTGCTTGTCGTGGATGTTCCTGCTGGAAAGCAGTAGCCCAGGTGGGTGGCCCCTGGTGCCCATCTGGAGCCCCACTAATGTCAGCGTGTCTTTCTATGGGCTTAAGAGACCACATGCACAAAGCAGCTTGCGGGAGAAGAATCTTATCTATTAATGGCTCGGGACACAAATTTTGAAAATGACTGACTGAGTTTCCTTTTCAAAAATACTGTTAAAACTTTAGAAAAAGTGATGAGTTTGGTTTCTTCTTTGGGGCTTGATTGGTTGTTTGGGAGCTTGGTTTTGTTTGGCTGGTTTTTAAGGGCCCTGTATTGGTTTCTCTTTTATCCCCTTGGAAGGGAATGTCAAAATTACCATTGACTTCAACAATAAAAAGACACAGGGTACATTTTTGAATGCTCTCGTGTTGTTAAGGACCTGCTTATTCTTTTTAAGAGTTATTTGAATGTTTGAAGCCACAGGCTTTCACTGGCTTTTCTTTGTAATTATTTTTGGAACTATTAGGTGGATTAATACTGCTCAATCGGTTTCACGTAGGCCTGCACAGGAACCAAAGCCTGTATTAGGAATAAAATTTTGGAAGAGCATTGGAGACAGATAAAAATTAAAGCATCCTGAATGCTGTGTAACTAGAGTTAAACCAAGTAGGCTGCTAATAAAAAGCAGCAGTTAAGAAATTAAGAAGGTCTGACTCCTTTCCTCTCTTCAAATTCCAAGTTCTTTATTAGAGCGATACCTATTCTTTTTTATTAATTGCTTAAAAAGGAGTTCAGGCTTTGCACTATTTTTCAATCGAGGTAAAATTTGTCAAAATCACTTAGATTAAGAAGTTATAAAGCGTATTGAGTGCATATACATACATATTTAGCTACATATACAAATGTATGTGTGTATATAAAAGTAGTGTAAAAAAAGATAGATACTTTAAAACAGTACTTAAAATTAAAGCGACTGTGGCTCCAAAGATGTGTGTTTGCAGCCTTTTAACTCCCAAGTTGTTGTTTTGATCTGGCACATGGCGGCAGGAATCAGTCATTGCCGTGAGATGGCTATTCATAGACCTTTGTGATCAGCTCAGTTTATCTGCAGCTTGACAGGTGTCCCCATCGCAAAAAAAATGAGGAAGGAACAAATTGTGGAGAGCAGCTTTGAGTGGTGGCTCCTTGGGTTGAAGCTGAGGAAGGTTGTAGAGGGCAATATGGAGAGATGGAGATGCACAGGACACATTTGTCACTCTGTTTGGGTTTTTGTTGGGTGGCTTTTTTTCCTGAAATCTTGTTTCAGGAGCGTTAAATTTACTTAAAAAACCGAAATGGTGAAATGTCTGGAAATTCTTTTTGAGTTTTCTAGTAACTTTCTTTATCAAAGAGAGAATAAAGGATTTCATTTATAACTCTGGTTAAATTCCTCAATGTGCTGTTTTCTTTTTTTAATTTATTTCTTCTGCTGGAAATATTTTTAGACTAAGGAA